GTTAAAAAAGTTAGTTCGAATACTAAGGCTAAGCGATTTGTTTTTCCTCCACCAGAAGAGTTCGAAAGAGTGGTTAAGCGAGCCAGAAAAAGCGACAGATGAACTAATATTGGCTTGTCTCCTAATGCTAATGAATTAGATAAGGCTAAATATCACCTTTGTAAAACTATTTTGCGTTATAAACGACAAAATGGCTTATCTAGCAAGGAAATTGCTAAACAATTAAAAATAAGCATTTATCGAGCCGAATATATCTTATATAGCCACATTGATAAACTTACTTTGGATGAATTAGTTAGTTATGCTGAAAGTTTACATGCTCCCTTTGAATTAAGAAGTTCCTATGAAAATCAAGAAACTGCCCGTGAAGCCTACTAATTTAAGGGAATATAAATGCGACTTGATTATTAATGAACAGCATTTAACTAAATTAGAAATTAGCCCTTATTACGAGAAGCATAACCACGAATATTTAGAAGCCTTAAAGAAAAGAGAGATTAAGCCTACTTCTAAACAATTAGCGGAAAAGTTAATTACTGACGATTTGATTAGAAAAGTATTAGTTCCTCAATTAGATGGCGAAGAAATAGACGAAGATGGCGAGAGAAATTACCAGTATACTTACTATTACTATGTGCCTTTGTATAAGGGCGATAAAGCCTATAAATTAATTTGATGCTTAGACGACAATAATCCTCATATCTTAGGAATAATGGATTGTTTTCGCGTGGAAAAATTTGATAAAGATTAATTGTAAAATTTAGTTATCCTTGTATAAGTTTATTTGTTAACCCTTGCCCTACTGATTACCTAGTTTTAATTAATTTATTGACTATTTACTATTTCTTCTAAGGATTTTTCTTCGGATATTAGTTTTTCTATTTCTTCGTTAAATTTTGAATGTCAAATAATACGAACAACAATACCGAATAAGCAAAGAACTGCTACCGTTATGACAAAATAATTCACTCATTTAGTAACTTCCGGAAATTCTTCAAGAAAATCGCTAAAAAGTCATTTGAATATTATTACTTCAATAGCAATGTCTCCTATAAGTCCTCAAACGAGGCTTCAAATTGCCTTTTTATTACTCTCTCTCTCTCTCTCTCTCTTTAACTTTTCTTTTATCTCTAACTTTCATTAATTTAACCATTTCTTTACTCATAATAAAAGTTTTTAATAGTTTAATCCAAAGTCAATTTTGTATTCTTTGAGCTTAAGCAACTTTGCTTCTTTCCCTAATTGCTTATTCATTCGCTAATTGTTTTTCTAATGCCTTTTCTTTAAGTTTTAATTGCTTTATTTCCTCACAGATTTTCGGATAACGATAAAATGTGAGAACAATCGCCGTAAGTAGTCCTATCACTGCTGCTATAATAAAAAAATAATAAATAAACTTGAAAAATTTTTTTATTGGTTCAGCTTGTCCAGCATCTTCACTAAAAAACCAACTGTATCATACTGCGTAAAATACGCTGCCTAAGAATAAGCCTAAACTGCTTCACCTTGCTCAACCCATTTTCTTACTCTCTCTTTCTCTCTCTCTTATTTTTTCCTTTAAATTAACTAATTCAACCATTTTTACATTATTCATAATAAAACTTTTTACCTAAAATATTGCTAACCTGCCCTTAAACTACCTATCTTATAACAATTAACCTAACACTATGACTGAAAACGATAAAAAACAAAACATAAATATAACCAAAGAACAAAAACCAGCCCAAGAAACTACGGGAGAAAAGCATGCTCGCTGAGCTATAAGTAAGTTAAACTCTGCTTTGGGAGCTTTGGGTTTGCCTGAAATGGATATTGAGCCAGTAATAACAGGCGTTAAAGCTGGAACTATATTGCCCAGTTATATTGTTGGCGTAGTAGAGGAAGGCCTAAAATTAGCAACCGGAGTTACAAAAGTACTTTCAAAAAGTTTATCATGACTAAGCGGAGTTCCTTATGTAGGAAGTTGGTTTCAAAAAGCATCCAAAGTAATTAATGCGGGCTTAAAGGCTACTTCCCATTTAGTCGACCGCGTAAAAGATGCTTTAGTAGATGCATCCCTTTCTGGAATAAATTCTAGAATAGGCGACCTCAAAGGCGAACTAGACGGCACCAACGAAAAACTAGACAAACAAGGTAAAGCCATGTCCGACGGCTTCAATAAGCTCTCCGGACAACTTCAAGGCACTAAATCTGAACTAGAAGGCAAACTCTCCGCCCAAGGCACCCAAATCGGCAATCTCCAATCTCAAACTAACCGCTTAGA